GATTTGAACAAACTTGAATCTACACCACCTTAGGATGCTTCCAAATAATTATGACCAATCATAGCTTTGCTGTTCTTGAGAAGAAGATTTTTGAAGATTTTTCCTATGTACACCTATGTTAAACATTGATCGTCCATTGTGGCCCCACCCTACCCCCGGGGGTCATGATTTGAACAAACTTGAATTTACACCACCTGAGGATGCTTCCATATAAATATGACCAATCATAGCTTTGCTGTTCTTGAGAAGAAGATTTTTGAAGATTTTTCCTATGTATTCCAGACCTATGTAAAACTTTGATTGTCCAATGTGGCCCCACCCTACCCCCGGGGGTCATGATTTGTACAAACTTGAATCTACACCACCTGTGGATGCTTCCAAATAAATATGACCAATCATAGCTTTGCTGTTCTTGAGAAGAAGATTTTTGAAGATTTTTCCTATATATTCCTATGTAAAACTTTGATCGTCCATTGTGGCCCCACCCTATCCCGGGGGGTCATGATATGAACAAACTTGAATCTACACTACCTGACAATAATTCCACATGAGTTTCATCTTTCCTGGCCCACTGGTTCTTGAGAAGAAGATTTTTCAATAATGCCATTAATTTTTTGCTATTTCGTAATTATCTCCCCTTGGAGGAGGGCGTGGCCCTTCATTTGAACAAACTTGAAACCCCTTCACCCAAGGATACTTTGTGCCAAGTTTGATTGAAATTGGCCCAGTAGTTCTGGAGAAGAAGATGAAAATGTGAAAAGTTTACGACAACAACGCCGACGCCGCCGCCGACGACAGACAACGGACAAATTTTGATCAGAAAAGCTCACTTGAGCCTTCGGCTCAGGTGAGCTAAAAATGAATTTTATATAAGAATGAAAACAGGATTGTATTGAATAAAATTTTCTAAAGAACTTTTGGTCCAGAAAATTAAGCTAAAATTAAGATAAAAATTACTTGTAAGCTCTGTGTGTGTTTGTGTCTTAGGAGTCAATTTTTAGTTTCATCCGTCTGTCTGTAAACAATTTTTAAAGTGCTACGCCGCGCCTTCAGTTTTAAGACTTGGTGCACAAGTAGACTATGCAGACATTAGACTCTGTAAAAACAAGTAAACGTTATTTATAAAAATTATTTTTATTGCTTTTTGATTTTGATAAAGGTTGTTGCCATGGTTATTAAAAATTAGAAATTTCCATGAAATTCTTTGAAAACACCACTCCTCTTACAGTTTGGTACGATTTTGATTGCGACGAGAGATGTTGCCATGGTTACTGAAAATGAAAAATTCTGTAAATTTCTTTGAAAACCTACTCCTTGTACAGTTTGGTCTGAGTTAAATAGTACTTGGAACACAAGTAGACTCTACTACGATACATACCGGTAATTCTGTATATCGTCTTTTTTAAATTTTGACGAACTTGTTGTGGATACTAAAATAAAAAAAAATTTCTGAAAGTTCTTAAAAACCTATTTCTTCTCCAGTTTTTGGTTTGCTTTCAATAAGACTTGGTGCACAAGCAGACTACACCCAGGCACATACAGAAATGTTGTACACCGGGTTTTGATTTAGGTGAACGGTAATATGCTATGCATAATAGGAGTTGGTACACAATTACATGTAGACTACACTAGATACACTGGGTTTTGCCGTCGATGAACCTTGTTGCAATGGTAATTAAAAATTGATAATGTTGGAATCCTTCAAAACGCTGCTCATTTTTTTCCCAGAATTTAAGAAAAATTGGTATACACGAACAAACGATTTCAAGGATCATAATTCTATCGATAGATTTGCGGGTTAAGTATTTATTTCTGCAATTGGTAAAATAAGTATACGATTTCGGACTTAATTTTTATTAACAGTGTACAACCCTCAATATATAGAAACTAAAACGTAGTTCAATAGAACTACTACATAGAAACTACACAGAAAGACATATTTATAGGCCTACCTCTCTCTGAACAAAGTTAACTTTGCTATTTATAACTGAGGATATATACATGTACATGTAGATTGTGATACAATCGTTTATTTAATATAAAAAGCTTTGATTTAATAAGCTTTTGTAAATATCACTATAGAAAAAGCATATAATAATTCAAATGGACTTTGGACTTTTTCATATTGCCTTGTTTTAGGTCTTGGTAACTATCTTTAACTGGACTTTGAAGTGATTGTGAGTCGACATTTATGCTGGTTCATTATGCGTGATTCGTCAATATAAAACGATAAAAAAAGCTAGTTAAACTATAATGTACATCAAGCAATACCGGTATTTTTTCCCTAAATGATCTATATAAAGTATGTCATCCTATTTTAATCATATCTTTCTTAATGCAGTTATATAGCACTTTCAAAACAGGCAGGAGATGTAAAAGGAAAATAGATGTATACATGTGAAGAATTATAGGCTATATAAAAAGAGAAGAAAAAGAAATAAAAACTTGATGAAGTAATTCTTTACTAGCTGTGAACAATTTTAAAACGTCATATTCGAATAGCATGCAAGATTCGTCAAAATAGCATCCTCACAACGCCAGGGGTCCTGAGTCAACATGACAACCTGTTGACTCGGGATCCCTGATGTTGTGAGGATGTCAAAATAGAAATTGTTCTAAATGTGCCACATTCGAATATCACAGGTAGCAAAAATTTCTTCAATGAATATTTATGCAGGCAATTTTGCATTTGGTCAAGAAAAAAATCTTCAAAAACCAGAAATTAATCATGCAAAATCACAAGACTTAGAAATTGTAGAAAAAGTGAAGATCGCTCCAGCAATATATGTATACTGAAATGTATCATACCTTATTCAAGAAAAATCTTTGTGTAGAGACTTTCCAATGAAACTGAAAACACGCGATAACAATTAAAAAGTTTATTAAAAATCTTTGTGTAAATGTTTGCAGTACACAACTTAGCCTCCATGAAGCCCCCATAATATAGGAAAATAACACTGTACAAGACAAGTACTTGTTCTGCATATAAATCACCCCCCCCCCCCTCTTCAAAGTATATTTATATATATTTTATGTATTGTTAGAGTTGACGGCTAATTCTGTTCATCATAAATTTTTTTTTTTAAATATTATTTCTATGATTTCGGATATTGTAGTGTACATTATGATGCTCCACTATGGGCCCAAATAAGTTGAAAAACTAAAATTTAATTCTATTCTATATAAGGGTAACATAGTTAAATAATCATAGTTTGCTTTTCGTGGCACTTGAATTTGTGGTAAAAGTTTTGTTTTAATGCTCGGTCGTGAATATGTACGGGGTATTTATATAGTGTTTGTAATGTCCGTCTTCCGTCCTTCCGTCTCGATCGAAGTCCATCACACTTTAATTGCGCTTAGCTCAGTTTCAAAGAAACTATTCAAAATATTTTTATCAAACCTCGTATGCTGATGCATATTGATGAGAGTTATTCATATGCATTAACATTTTTTGACCTTGACCTTTCCTTTGACCTTGATACCACTTTTCTTCATTTTTTGTTTATCTCAGTTTTAAGGAAACTATTCAAGATATTTTTTAATCAAACTTCATATGCTGATACGTATTGATAAGAGCTATTCAACTGCATAAAAAAAATTGACCTTCCCTTTGACCTCACTTTTCATAAATTTGTAATCAAATCAAGATTTTTTTTTTTATCGATTTCATTTGCTGATAGTTACATTTTACTGATTGCTATTGAACTGCATTAACATTTTTTGACATCTTAAATTTGCATATAGCTCAGTTTCAAAGAAATTACTCAAGATAATTATATATCTATTATTATCTATATTTATAAACACATTTACCAGTCAGATACATATTGGTGAGAACTATTCATCTGTATCCAACTGTATGCCCTTAACCCCACTTTTCTTAATTTTGCCTTTAGCGCAGTTTCAAAGAAACTATTCAAGATATTCTTATGTAATCTTATGCACTAATGCATAATATGTTGAGAATTTATCAACTTTGTCCAAGTTTTTTTTTCACCTTGACCTTTCCAATGACCTTTGACTTTACTAAAATTGTGTATAAAACTCACTTTGAAACATTTCAAGATATTTTCATCAAATTCCATACACTAAAATACAAATTTTCGTGTCAGTTACCTTACTATAATTAACCCTTAGGGGGCATGCATATATGTCCTATGGACATATTTGTAGTTTTTAGGTGATTCACATTTTCGGAGACTCTTCATCCCGGACAAATTTCTTTCTGGACGAAAGTGTTCGGATTAACGCGAGACGCCACTGTAAGGAAACGTTGTAGGGCTGTGCATCATGATATACACATGCATGTGCTTGAAGGCTCGTATGGTGTATGCAATAGGTTGTAAATATCCTGATTTTTTTTCCCTCTTTTTTGTATGGCTGTTACTTTTCTTTTGGGAAAAAAAACAAAAAACAACAACAACAACAACAACAACTAGAATCATATTTAAATTAAGTTATCTATAGGATCAATCCTTTATATCCGAAAAAACGGGGCACTTTTTCTTATTCATTGAAAGGCCTTCTCCCCCTTTTTGTTGCAGTGCTATTTTGCTTGTCGGCTTGTCATTTTTCAGGCACAATTTTTATTTTGCTCGTCAACCCCCCCCCCCCCCCTTCCCACACACACACACACACACTTAAAAATGATGTTACGTGCCTGTAGTAATTGTTGAAATAAATGTTTCATATTTTGGGTCTCAGTTTACGCTTGTAATCGATAAAAAGTGTCGCTCGTGTATTTGTACATCAATTTAGTTAAGTTTCTACCTGAAATTTTTTAAGATCCACCAAGCCATCTTTTCCGTTCTTATCCGGACAAAGAATTCCGAAACAACGAAAAATAAAATAAATTATAAAGAAAAACACACTCACGTACATTTAGCATTTTAAATTTGAAATAAATATTATTTTTATAATTATATAAAACTTATTTTTAAAAATAGCAATATAAATCAACATCATTTTGATGCAAACCATTCAGCACAGAATTTGCAGCTTTAAAACACTCGCATGAACCAGATCTCGCCACATCACCAAAACCGGCGAAAAGAAGGTTCACGTGTTTTCACTTTTCATCTATGAGTAGCAGAGGACATGTCATATATACAATACAGAGATTTATTTTCTTCCATATTTGTTGCTTGAGGCTAGGATTGTAAACAGCTTTCGTTATTTAAATTTCATCCACGTGACAAAGTGACTTCCTTTTACAACGCGACTGTCCACGAGTCAAAACAACATGAGCACATCACAAACAGCTGTTCACCGAGGGATCGTGAAACAGGTTCGGGTTTTTGAATCGCTTGTAGTAGAAGTGGGCTGTTTATTTTTAAATTCACAGAGACTTTTTGTACACATGTCATTTTTTATTTAGAATTAGCTTGAAGATATTTCTACTGCATAACATAACCAGATGTGATTGGGATTACCAGATCTTTAAATAGAAAAAGAAATGAATTGGCAAACTGTCGTTTATTTTGTTTTCTATGTAATTTTATTTATTAAAGTTTGCATTAAAAGCGAGCCTTATGAGTTTCACATGGTGAATTACAAAGTATCGACCACATATGGTACTTTGTACACATGTTTAAAAATGTTAATGTATTTACAGATTTACAAAAAACATACTGAAGATTTAAAAACAATTAATTTGTTCTGTTTGCGAAGTATAGTTGTACATGTTCATTGATTTTGTCTGGAAGTGATGATAAAAAAAAACAAAACTGTTGTCTTTTTAGAAATATATAGCTGTTAATTATCTGTATAGAAATAATAATCAGTTAAAGGAAACTGTGAGCATGATAACAAGTTAGAAAACTTAAGTATCATCACATTTCATGTAGCTTTATTTGATCTCAGTTTTGTGTGTGCGTTTTGGGCTATTACCCAGGAATTTAGAATTTCAAAGAATATTAATGTACAATATTATCTTTTAAAGAAATGAATAACATCTAGTACGTAAATGAAACTAAAAATTCAAATTTAGAATTTACCTCCATGTTTTTGAATCAGGGATTTTTTTACCCTCTGATTCCAGGGGCCGGGGCCGTCAAGATTGGGAAAAATAGCGATATTTCGTTGAAATTGGGAAAAATATCTTCATACAAATAAAAACAAGCAAAAGTCAAATATTTAATCATTTTTCTTATTTTTTTATAGTATGAAGCTGGCCTAAACCAGCTTTAGTGATATGAAATAATAGAGACTGCTCAGGACCTTAAAAATGGTAAAGCCGCAGGGTATAATAACATTGTAAATGAACACTTTTATACAACGTTATCATCTTTTTTACCTTTACGTAAGAAGTTCTTTAAAATAAAATTTGATAGTGGGTTTGTTCCAGATGTGTGGTTAATCGGTATTGTTTGACTGATTTATAAGAATAAGAGTGATTCAACACAGCCTGAAAATTACCGCCCTAGGCAAACTGGAGAGACTGACATGATGCACGTTTATTTATTAATTAACGATCCCGACTTTAATTTTTAAACATCGATCCCGCTTTAAAAAGTATGCATGCAACATCCGTTGTATTCCGAGTAACTTTTCGGAACTCCTCGGATGGCTCGTACATCGCACATAGAGGACATAAACACCTTTTTGTCATTATTTTATTTTAATACTTTACAACTTAATACAGTACTTTTTTCATATTGGGAATTTTCAGGTATAATTTTGGGAAAAACATGCACTTTTCAGCATTGGGAATGGGGCCGAATTTCGGCCCCGGAGAGACCCTAAAAAAATCCCTGTGAATGATTCCACAGTATGTACATGGTATATATCTCTCCATAATTTCACTTTTTTTCTCAGGTCCTGTCTGGAGATGCAGTGGTCATTAGGGGTCAACCCAAAGGAGGCCCACCCCCAGAGAAAACGATATGTTTCTCCAACATCACAGCCCCTCGTATGGCTAGACGACCCAATCCAGCACAGGACAATGTGGAGACAAAGGATGAGGTAACAAGACTATGAAAATATATGGTACAAATCCAAGCCAAGTTTGACCTTTTCATCATACTAATATTATTAATGAGCATGAAAATGCCAGAATAAAAAAAAAATCGGAGGGGACTACATTGCTGCAGAAATTCTATATGATCTTGCTTTTTCAGTCTTCTTATAAGTCAACCACTTACTATCATCTTAGATCATGTAGATAAATATTTATTTTTTTTGTATTATCTTTCTTGGATTTGAGTCTCTCTCCCTCTCTTTTGGTTTCTTTTATTTTATTTCATTTTGAATTTTTTTGTATGTTTACAGTACTTGACCCCCTTCAATGAAAATAATTGACCATGTAACATTCTTCCAAGCAATTTTTTTTCTTTTGATATATTTGTTACAGGAATGAACAAATGTTTGGGTTTCTTTTCTCACATTGACTGCCAAGTATAAAATACTTCGAACTCAGCATTGCATAATAAATTTATTCAGGCATTGGATTAACTTCTTGTCCAGGCATGAAAAAGGTCTGGGGTTTTGAAAACCCCAAAAACCTCAGAATTGAGAAGGAATTTACATGAATTTTTGTTGTTGCACATTTAGAGTAAACTTTGCTAAGTTTATCAGATTGATTTTGTTCTGTAATCTGTATGTGGTTTATACAGTAGCTATGCTACCATAATAGAAAAGGAAAAGTTACATCGTTAAATTCCATATTAATCAATTTCAGCCCTTTGCATGGGAAGCCAGAGAGTACCTAAGGAAGAAGCTGATAGGGAAAGAAGTGGCTTTTGTTATAGAATACACAGTACCAGGGACAGGGAGAGAATATGGCTGTGTGTACCTCGGGAAAGGTAAGAGAGAGGGGAGGGGAGGCTTGTTATAAAATACACAGTACCAGGGACAGGGAGAGAATATGGCTGTGTGTACCTCGGGAAAGGTAAGAGAGAGGGGAGGGGAGGTTTGTTATAGAATACACAGTACCAGGGACGGGGAGAGAATATGGCTGTGTGTACCTCGGGAAAGGTAAGAGAGAGGGGAGGGGACATTTGTTATAGAATACACAGTACCAGGGACAGGGAGAGAATATGGCTGTGTGTACCTCGGGAAAGGTAAGAGAGAGGGGAGGGGAGGTCTGTCATAGAATACACAGTACCAGGGACAGGGAGAGAATATGCCTGTGTGTACCTCGGAAAAGGTAAGAGAGAAGGGATGGGAGGTTTGTTATAGAATACACAGTATCATGATCAGAGAGAGAAAATGTTTGTGTGTACCATGGGAAAGGTGAAAGGTTTGGGGGGGGGGAGAATGTTTCCCCCTCAGTAATTCTTAAGTCAGCTTGTATGATTAAAAATTCTAGTATGAAAATCTTTTAAATTATAATGACTTCATAATTATAAAATTTAACTTAGTATTTAAATGAAAAAAAGGAAAGAAAGAAAAAGGGCAAAATTCTGAATAATCACTTAAGAATTCACCTTACAGACACGTCAGGAGAAAACATTACGGAGGCTTTAGTAACTGAGGGTCTGGTAGAAGTAAGAAGAGGAGGACTCAGGCCTGACGAGTAAGTCAGACTTATCTCCCTTTGATGGGAACTAACAATTACAATGTCGAAAAGTAAGCTGGTTTTCTTTCTTCTGATTTGTTACAGTGATTATCTTAAGAATGTTTATTATTATTAAGCAAATCCAAGCATAGTCTTAAGTTTAAAACACCATTCAAGTAATAAGATATTTCCCCCATATATCTTTACTTCCTGTGTGCAAAAAAATTATCATGGATGTTGATTCTAACACAGTCCAGGTCAGCAACAACTGATCCAGTTAGAGGACGCAGCAAAGGCTGCTGGGAAGGGAAAGTGGAACACAGCGGAGGCAGCCAAACATGTACGCAATGTAAAGTGGAATGTCGAGAACCCTAGAAATTTTGTGGACTCTCATCATAACAAACCAATCGATGGTAAGGCAGTTGTTCCTCTTAATGAGGTCTGTGGCTCAGTATTCGTTCAATCAAATATCTTTGAATGTTTCCTTTCATTTCAAATTTCCATTCACACCTTAGTACCTTGAAAAAAAATCTCAAATGACTTTCATTTTCCATTATGATCTACTTGTTTTGGATATGTAAGAATACTAATTCATTTTATCTGATTGATTAACTGATGTATGTTTGTTTACTGTACGTGTATGAATTAGGTAAACAGATGATTTGGCATATATTAGTGTATGGTTACACCTGTAAATGCTTTATTAACAGCTGTGATAGAACATGTTAGAGATGGATGTACAGTCAGGGCCTTCCTCTTACCTTCGTTTGACTATGTCACCATCATGCTCTCAGGAATTAAGGTTTGAATGTTTTTTTGTTTTTTTTTTATAGGAAAATTTCATTTTTAATGTAATCCTTCCTATCATTTGGATTTGTAAGGTATTTAACTGTCTGGAAAAAAACTCACAGTGACTTAAAATATTTTTTGTTCAAGAGAAATACATTGCCTTCTCAGGTTATAGTAACCCAGAATTCTCTTAAGATGTACATGTTCTTTTTAGTGTCCAATGTTCAAGCAAGATGAGAGTGGTAAGCAGGTGCCTGAGCAATTTGCTGCGGAGGCCAAATATTTCACCGAGGTCCGTCTACTGCAGAGGGATGTACAGATCATTCTGGAGGGGGTCTCAAACCAAAACCTGCTGGGGACAGTGCTACACCCTGTATGTGGGGTTATATTCTGGTTATATACTGTGGAATCATCATTTGTAGGAATACAATGTTTGAGAATTTTATGGGTCACCCTGACCCACAGAATTACATTTCCCACCAACCAGTAAAATTTTGATTGCTTAGCAATATTGACCCCCATGAATTAAAATGATTCCACAGTAAGTAGTTTATAGTTTGAATGAAAATTGTACAAAGTGTAAACATACAATACACATAAGTGAGTTTTGCTTCCCAGAGAGGCAGTTTTTAGATCTCTTTAAAAGAATTTCACAAGCAATAGTGACTATAGAATTTTTTTTTTGGTTGTAGAATGGTAATATTGCTGAACTGCTGCTGAAGGAGGGATTTGCCCGCTGTGTGGATTGGAGCATGGGGGTGGTCACCCAGGGTGCTGATAAACTCCGAGCTGCTGAAAAGTATGTAAAATCATGTGTTCCCTTCATGGCAACATTATCACTTACAGTCCACATAGTATGTTATACAAAGCCAGAAATTTTAATGTACAATTTGACTTCTGAATAATAAGAACATTTGCTAGAAAATTTTCACTTTCTTTTCCATTGCAGAATTGCCAAAGAGAAGAAAGTTCGGTTATGGAAGGACTACTCTCCCTCTGGACCAACAGTTGACATCAAAGACAAGTCCTTTAGTGGAAAGGTATGTTGTACCTTATAAAATATTAAGATGATTTGTAGACTGATAAAATTTAGGTCCAGAGTATCTTGATAATTCCTTATGGGTACTTGTACTGAGATTAACAAGAAAATTTAGACCTAGAATTTCAGGAAAACTGATTGTGATTACTGAATTCTTGTCGTGTGTAATATTTAGTAATTAACCACGTACAAAAATTTTGTATAACAACCTGATTTCCACTGTCCAGAACTCCATTAAATATTTCAGTGATGATTCTGTTCCGATATTTAGCGGAATTCTGCTAATTTGAATCCTAGAATCCGATATTTCAGTACTTTCTATTTTTACAGCAACCCATTTCCATTTTAGTCCAGTTAAAACACTCCAATTGTTTTGTCTTTGTTTCATCTAGTCTGCATCATCCAGATGTTTGCTTTTATCTCCAAGTAAGGTAAACACAAACGCAAGGATGATTCAGATTTCCTTTCAATGGCGCGGCAGTTCATTCAGCCAGGTCAGGGTGTAAAAGCTGTTGAACAAACTGTCTGACTTCAATTTTTGTCACTCATTTAAACCTACTTTGGGATTGTTAAAGCCGATATTTTGTCAGCCCCTCGACCCCTAAACTATTTCAGATATTTCGGCCAATTCACAGAATCATTACTGATATTTGACAACTGTTAAATTTAATGCATACAGTTAAAAAAAAGTCTTTCATCATTTTTCAGGTTGTGGAAGTTGTTAATGGTGATGCTTTAGTTGTCAAAACAGGAGATAACCAGTTTAAAAAGGTGTTTCTGTCCAGCATCCGACCACCGAGGTAAGACATGGCATTGACGGAAATCTACGCTGGTTCAAATTTCTGCAATATAAAGAACCAAAAAATTAGTTGGCCTTTTCACATACAGTAGTTTTAGTACTGTAGATTCCTAAATACATGTATACACAGGGAGTTTATTATCTCTAAATTTCGTGAGAATCATAGTATTAAAGTATGTACTCTAATACAGGTAAACTTCGTTATCTCGACATCGACGGGACCATCGGAAAATGTAGAGATATCCGAGGTGTCGAGATATCAGAGTTGAGACTTGACGTCCAAGATTTCACTGCATCACCAAACACATACATGTGTATAAGCTTATTATACGTACATGACTTCAATATAGACTGTAGGTCAACTTATTTCAGCAATCCCTCTAAGAAGTTATTTTTAAAAAATCTTATTTATAAAACCTGTTCTTTCTCTTTATCGAAATCGTTCGAAATTTTTGTAGTTTTCCATCCAGCATTCGCGTGTTACTTGGCTACTTGCTTTTTTGTCAGAACATGATACGAAATGCGCTCTATAAACTTCGAACCGAACCATATAAACATGATAAAGTCGACATCCGAGATACGAAAACATATTAAATGCGTAATTATTTTTTTCTTATTTCATTCAGGAAGAATGTGCATTAATATTAATTTTTTAAGAGATTTGTGTATCTAATTTAACGTAGTGATATTACAGATGCATGAATTACGGATGATTCGGTTAATCGTGTCGTTAATCGGATTATTTCCTGTTGAATGCATTTTAACTACAAAATATTAGAACATCGTTTAATTCTTTAGTTTGAATTTATTCAATATGTTTATTATTCTTTGTAATTTAGTTATCTTTTTCAATTTCAAAAGTTATGTTAGGTTTCGACATAAATAAACACCTGTAAATTTAAGCAGAATCGTGTAGATTTATCAGTGATATTACCCAAGCTGAACATTAAGCAATTAACGTCTCAAAGACGCCGAGGGGGCTTTTGATTCACCTACAAACACAGTCTATAGAATTAATTAAGCAGCGTGCAGTCAAAACATGGGTGTGAAAGGTGTGAATTTTTGACGACGTCGAGATACCCGGAGCCGTCCGTGCGTGACGAGCCACCCTATCTGACAAACAGTTAGGTTCAGTGGAGCAGAAAATTGCCGATGTCGACATATACCAGGTAAATTTTGCTCTTGGGACTGTGAATATACGTCGAGATAACCAGGGTTGTCGAGATTACCGAGGTCGACATATCAGAGTTTTTGCAAATCATTTATATAGTAAATACTGCCGGGACCGCGGACGGACGTCGACATATCCCAGGTTGTCGACATATCCGATGTCGAGATACCGAAGTTTACCTGTAAATTATTATCAATGTAAGATAAGAATTTACCGTATTATTTAGTCCATGTGTTACTGTGTTCCATTCTGAGATGTACTAGAGCAGGATATTAAAGTTATTTGCTTAAAACCTTGAAAGTATGACGAGGTACTAAAATTCAGGTCTCCTTGCTCAGTGTTTTGTTATTCTTTTATTATTTCCATATTTGCTAAATATCTTCGAATTTTAGATAACATTGTCAAGAACACTAGCTTTGCTTAATATTTTAATGCTGTCGACCTGAAATTCTTGGTATTTTTACATGTACTAACAAACATCATTTCATTTTAATGCTGTCGACCCAAAATACTTGTACTTTGTACATTGACTAACAAACATCATTTCGTGTTGTCAGAAATACTGCTGCTTCAACTGACTCGGAATCTCCCTCCAAAAGCCGAATTCGACCACTGTATGACGTTCCATACATGTTTGAAGCAAGGGAATTCCTGAGGAAGAAACTCATTGGCAAAAAGGTAAGTTTTGGACAGTAATCATAGTTTAGAACATATTATTTTGTTGAATGAGATGATGAAAACAATTACCAGGTCAGGTGTTACTTTTAAAGCTAGTAAGATACATTTTTGAAATAAGAAACAAGATCCCATCTTCGCAGTTTTATGGGAAAATTATAGCCAACTCAATTTTTGAGTTAAATACAATTTGATTTGCAGCTGTGAGTCCCAGACATTTGTAAACAATGTTGAGGACATATTGTAAGGAATATTGTTTGATCTTTGGTTTCAACTGTTGAGAGACATGAGGTCATCGAGAACGTATACCTTTGTTTCTGTTATTTTTTTAATAAGAAAAAAGTTTTTAAATAAAATCTATAAGAAGGATCTCACTGTTCATTATGTTGACTTCACATACTGATTATGGGGTAGCACTGGGCTTCTTTTGTCTTGATATGAAAAAAAAATTATTATACTTGCATGTAGATGGTCAGAATAAAAGAGCAAATAATTTTTTATTTTAAAATCATCAATTTTGGTTAAGATGACATGACAAAAGTTGTCTTCTAATGGTTTGTTTCTGAGTAATGTCATTTTGAGAGTGGATACCCACTTTGTGACCTTGTTAATAATCAAAGAAAATAAGAAGGGTTGTCTATAATTTAACACACCTAATTATGAATTACAGGTAAATGTCCAGGTGGATTACATTCAGCCAGCTAACAACAATTTCCCTGAGAAGACTTGCTGCACTGTCACAATATCTGGGATGTAAGTAACTGTAAAATTCAGGTTTTCCTTCAAACCATTAATATGCTTAAATACAGATAAATCTTGATACATGCAAGTCAGACATGAAGATGGATGGAAAAAAAAAACTTCTGAGATATCCAGGTGTCCAGGAAATTAACTCTAAGTGTAGTTGGGAATGTGATATCATTTGATATATCCTTGGTGTTAGATATGTCAACTTTTAAGATACCAAAGTTCATTTGTATAATGGTACATATATTCATTAATTACAGTAATGTTGGAGAAGCGTTGGTGGGTAAGGGCCTGGCTACCGTGGTCCGCTACAGACAGGAGGACGACCAGCGGTCAGAACACTATGATGAACTGTTGGCAGCCGAGGCTAGAGCTCAGAAGAAAGGTGTAGGCCTGCATTCCAAAAAAGAGGCACCAATCCACAGGGTGGCAGACATCTCGGGGGTATCAAATTTTATTGTTTTATTTTTTCATCTATGGATGATAGAATGAAGAAGACTATTTTAATTGTATGAAAAATTATGCATAGATTGTAATGGTGATACATAATTATTTAGTGATCTTTTCATGTCATAAGGAAAAACAGTTGTGTAAGAAACCAGATATTGGTTCATATGTCAGCAAATTATTCTGTTTTTAGCTCACCTGAGCTGAAAGCTCAAGTGAGCTTTTCTGATCACCCGTTGTCCGTCGTCCGTCCGTCCGTCTGTCCGTCCGTCCGTCTGTAAACTTTTCACATTTTCAACTTCTTCTCAAGAACCACTGGGCCAATTTTAACCAAACTTGGTACAAAGTATCCTTGGGGGAAGGGGAGTTTAAATTGTTAAAATAAAGGGCCAAGTCCCCTTACAAGGGGAGATAATCAAGAAAAGACAAAAATAGGGTGGGGTCATTTAAAAATCTTCTTCTCAAGAACCACTGGGCCAGAAAAGCTGAAACTTATGTGGAAGCATCCTGGGATAGTGTAGATTCTAAATTGTTAAAATCATGACCCCCGGGGGTAGGGCGGGGCCACAATAGGGAATCCAAGTTTTACATTGAAATATATAGGAAAAATCTTTAAAAATCTTCTTCTCAAGAACCACTGGGCCAGAAAAGCTGAAACTTATGTGGAAGCATCCTGGGGTAGTGTAGATTCTAAATTGTTAAAATCATGACCCCCGAGGGTAGGGCGGGGCCACAATAGGAAATACAAGTTTTACATTGAAATATATAGGAAAAATCTTTAAAAATCTTCTTCTCAAGAACCACTGGTCCAGAAAAGCTGAATCTTATGTGGAAGCATCCTGGGGTAGTGTAGATTCTAAATTGTTAAAATCATGACCCCCGAGGGTAGGGCGGGGCCACAATAGGGAATCCAAGTTTTACATTGAAATATATAGGAAAAATCTTTAAAAATTTTCTTCTCAAGAACCACTGGTCCAGAAAAGCTGAAACTTATATGGAAGCATCCTGGGGTAGTGTAAATTCTAAATTGTTCAAATCATGACCCCCAGGGGTAGGGCGGGGCCACAATAGGAAATACAAGTTTTACATTGAAATATATAGGACAAAAATCTTCTTCTCAAGAACCACTGAGCCAGAAAAGCTGAAACTTAAGTGGAAGCATCCTGGGGTAGTGTAGATTCTAAATTGTTCAAATCATGACCCCTGGGGGTAGGGCGGGGCCACAATACGAAATACAAGTTTTACATTGAAATATATAGGAAAAATCTTTAAAAATCTTCTTCTCAAGAACCACTGGGCCAGAAAAGCTGAAACTTATGTGGAAGCATCCTGGGGTAGTGTAGATTCTAAATTGTTAAAATCATGACCCCCGGGGGTAGGGCGGGGCCACGATAGGGGGAATCCCAAGTTTTACATTGAAATATATAGGAAAAATCTTTTAAAATCTTCTTCTCAAGAACCACTGGACCAGAAAAACTGAAACTTATGTGGAAGCATCCTGGGGTAGTGTAGATTCTAAATTGTTCAAATCATGGCCCCTGGGGGTAGGGTGGGACCACAATAGGTATTACAAGGGGGAAAGTCTGGTAATGAACAGCATGGCCAAAGTTACTCAGGTGAGCGATGTGGCCCATGGGCCTCTTGTTTTTTTTACTTTTACTAAAAAAAAAGACACATATATTTGAAGGTCTTCAGATGACAATTTTTGTGCTCAGTATTTGATTCACAAGGAATTTCATCATTATTTAGCTCAGCATTAAAGTTCCTTACTGATTTAGTATTACAATACCTTTGTTTTTATTAACAGGACCTGAACAAGTGTAAGCAGTTCCTGCCGTTTCTACAGAGGGCGGGTAAATCGGAAGCTGTTGTAGAATTTGTGGCCAGCGGGTCTCGTCTCAGACTGTATCTGCCCAGGGAAACGTGTCTCTTCACCTTCCTAATATCAGGTACGAAGGAGGGACAATTTTACAATTTTACTTCCTCCTTATGAAGGAGAATTGACTTCGTAAACAGTGGTCTTTTTTCCCAAGTATTGTTTGAGTCAGAATGATGTGAAGTAAATCTGGAAATATTCACTTTTAGACCGAAGTATTTTGTGATTCATAATGAATTTGACTTGTAAACCAAAGCTTTGTTATACACAGTATCAAGTCTGTTCTATATGCTGTTTCATATCTTTGGTATGTTGCAGGTATTGAATGCCCCAGAGGAGCTAGACCCCTCCCGGGAGGACAGATGTCCCCATCTGATCCCTACGGTGACGAAGCGCTTCAGTTCACAAAAGAAATGTGCTTACAAAGAGAGGTAACACCATATGTTTTCTATCTTTTTTTTAAGTACAAACTATGGTTTGGAAATTTTTCAAGAATATTTAAATTTGAAAGTTGTTGCTTAAAAATGTATATGTTTTTAAAAAATGATACATATATATTATTATAACAGTAACTTGATCCGAAGAGTCGTATCACGTCAAGTTGACAGGCGCGGATCATCAGATCAAACGAGACGCTTCGCGTCTCGTTTGATCTGATGATCCGCGCCTGTCAAAGAGACGTGATACGACTCTTCGGATCAAGTTACTGTTATAATGATAAATTTATTATATACCCCTTTCCAACTAGCAAGATATTATAATAGGAAGCTTTTTGGATCAATTACATAACTTTTATCCATTAAACAATCCATTTTGTAAAGGAACTTTTTAATACGCGAGAATAAAAACGTCATTTATCTGTGTACTACGTCATCAGTTTCAGAGAGGGGTGATATGGATTCAGAAAACCACTGTGTGGTGATCCGGAACGTCGGATCACACCGTCACATGATTGCATAAATTCAACAGTAAAACTGAGTGACAAACAGTTGGGTATATAATAAATGTATATGTTGTATTCAGGTTGAAGTGCAGGTAGAAAGTATGGACAAGGGAGGTAATTTTATTGGTTGGCTGTTCGTGGACAACACTAATTTATCTGTAGCATTAGTGGAAGAGGGCCTGGCTAAGGTGCATTTTACAGCAGAGAGAAGCAATTACTACAAACAGCTGAAGATTGCTGAGGAGAATGCCAAAAGAAATAAACGCAATGTAAGTTATTTGTTATAAACTAAAATCAAAGATTTGTGTAGCTAAATTTTACTGGTAAATTTCCTGCAATTTTAATGTTGTGCATTTGAACTTACATTAATATTATTCTAGATATTCCTGTATCCTTTGTTGCCATAAAATTTCTAATTTTTGGAGCAACTGAAACCATAAACACTGTGATTACCTTTTGACAAAAAAATTCATGTAGTACAAAAATAGATTTCCAAAATAATTTGAGTTGTATTTTCGGGTTGTCAGTTATGGAAGGACTTCCAAGAGACAACAGAACCAGAAGAAGTGGTAGAGGATAATACTGAGAGAAACGTCAGCTACAAACCAATTATAGTCACCGAAGTCGGCGATGACCTAAAATTCTACGCTCAGTTGGTGGACAATGGTCCACAGTTGGAGAAATTGATGGATCAGCTACGACAAGACATGGAAGCCAATCCACCTCTACCTGGGGCCTATACGCCAAAACGAAATGATCTGTGTGCAGCAAAATTCTCGCAGGACAATGAGTGGTATGTAGGGTAAATTTCTGTAAAGGAAATTTTTGATTTTTTGACTAATGGAGAAAAGAAACACCATCACGATTTGTCAGAGAGCTCCACAAAATAGGAGGAAATTTGCTCTGTCTAGAAAGTGGTCATTTCTTTAAAAAAAATTTAACTATTGCAAACCTATATTTTTTGTGTGTAACAAACCTTTGTGAGCTGTAAGGGTGCAAGAAAATTGCTGAATATTATTTCCATAAAGTAAATGTAGGAACAAGTTTTTTTTACATTTAAAAAAAGGTTGTAACTTGGAGCAAAAAATCACAAATAAAATCACCAACTACAATGTTTCAATGATAATACTGTGAAATCAGTAATTTTCATGGGAGTTTAATTTTTGTAGTTTTTGAGGTATGAAGAGACCCAAGAATTCATGTCCACCACGAAATGTAAAATGTAGGATGGCAACGAATATTCGAACATTCGAATATTTATTCGATGATTTGATATTCGAATATGAATTTAAGATTCGAATATTCGGCGTTTTTCAGATTTCATAAAAGAAGTACTGTGATTAATAAATTCCACTTAGAACAAAGCTGGAATTATCCCTGTTAAATTTACTAACAATCAATTTCTATCGCCTGATTTCTTTCACTACTTTCTTATCTTATAGATTTACTAAATTACATGTAATTTGATTTGAGTAAGGTGTTAAAGAATTATACAATAATTCTCTGTGTATAATACAAAACACACTTTCATAGTTTTATTAGTTAAATACGATCGGATCTAGAATCGAGGACAACAAAATGAAAACCTTCTTAGAATGTCTAAAAGACATGAAGAGTATACTTATCAAAACAAATTTAATTGATCATTAAAATGAATGTCCAATAGAATTAGACTGTAATTAATATTGGGCTCGATTTCAGAATAAATGATTATATCTTGGGTTGTATATAATCCTGAATTTTATATTCATTATTGGGAAAATAGTTAAATACCTAGAAAAAATTGTCTATGGAAATATTTGTTTATATTCTAAAAACATTGTATCAAAGATTATAATCATATCCCTTATTAGGCAGATAATTGTAATTTATTACACGTGTTGAAATCTGAACAGTATCTTGACAATCTTGCCTTTGGTAAGACGACTGGTTCCTAAGTTGGAGCTACTATAAATATACGTTTCGTTTGTTAAAATTATACTTTTCTATCTTTAAATCAATTATTTATTTCAAACATTGACAAATATCAAATGGAATTTCTTATTGTACAACTACAAAGGTCTTCATACAATTTTACTTCCAATATAAGTATACCTACGCTAAACCTTTCATAAGTTGGATGATACATATTTAAAATAAAACAGATTTTATTTATTTTATCGAATATTCGAATATGTTCGAATACTTTCATTGAATATTCGAATATGAATTATTGACAAAACTGACATCCCTAGTAAAATGTCATATACATAACTATGCAAAAGTTCTTCATCCAAGAAATAAAATCCCCACAAACCCATAGTTTTTCCTCAAACCACAAAAATTTGACACCACGAAAATATGTGATTCTACAGTATTGCAAAGAGAGTGGTGCAAAGGAAGGCTGGTTTACAGAAAACTTTTCTGTAGGCTTTGAGTGTGTATCAGGGATAAGTATTCCGTGCTTCATATTTCAGGTACAGAGCCAAAGTGGAAAAGGTTGAGGGATCAAAGGTTACACTTCTCTACATTGATTATGGAAATGTAAGTAATGGTTGTCAAAGAAGGGAAAACACAAATATAAAGATTTAATGTTTTTCTAGGAGACTTCTTTCATTATTTGTAATTTAGTCCAATAATTATTTATTTTTATCATTTCAGAGGGAACAAACCACAGCTACTAACCTGGCCACATTGTCAGCCTCCTTCCAGACCCTGGCCCCACAAGCCACAGAGTACTGTCTGGCCTGTGTCACCCTCCCATCTGATGTACGTGTCATGGGTAGACATGGTTTTATATATGTCATATTTGAAAAATCTGTTTAAGGCTAGGTAAACACCAGTGTATAAGTGTTCACAGCATAATATGTACAGGATAAATCAAAGGAAAAAAACGTTCTGATACTACTAGTATTTCAGCCTAAAAATATTACAGCTTTTTAGGTCACCTGAGTAAACTCAGGTGACCTATTGCTATCCGTTTTTGTCCGTCGTCGTACGTCGGTCGTAAACTTTTGAACATTTTTAGCTTCTTCTCTGGAACCGCTCAACCAATTTCAACCAAATTTGGTATATAGCATCTATGGGTGAAGGGGAACAAAAATTTTGAATTTCATGGTCCCTGCCCCCCTGGGGCCTGAGGGGTGGGGCTAAAACCACCAAAAATAATGCAATCTTTAAAAATCTTCTTCTTTACTCCTGGACATCAAGCAGTCAAACTGTTGGCATCATTGTAATAAGCATGGAGCCTTCTACCAAAATTGTGAAATTCATGGCCCCAGGGTCAGGGGTTCTGGCCCCAGGGTGGGGCTATATAGATCATATAGTGAAAGTGCATTATTTCTTTGAAAATCTTCTTTTCTGCTCCTGGGTATTAAATAAAGTTACTAAGTACATAGTTATGATGAGCAAGAGTGCCTCTTCCAAAATTGTGAAATTCATGGCCCCAGGGTCAGGGGTTCTGGTGTTAGGGCGGGGCTCTATTGATTATTTAGTGAAAATGCATTATTTCTTTGAAAATCTTCTTCTCTGCTCCTGGGTATTAAATAAAGGAACTAAGTACATAGTTATGATAAGGAAGAGTGCCTCTTCCAAAATTGTGAAATTCATGGCCCCAGGGTCAGGGGTTCTGGTGTTAGGGCGGGGCTCTATAGATTATATAGTGAAAAAGCATTAATTCTTTGAAAATCTTCTTTGCTCCTGGGTATTAAATAAAGTAACTAAGTACATAGTTATGATGAGCAAAAGTGCCTTTTCAAAATTTGTGAATTTCATGGCCCCAGGGTCAGGGGTTCTGGTGTTAGGGCGGGGCTCTATAGATTATATAGTGAAAATGCATTAATTCTTTGAAAATCTTCTTCTCTGCTTCTGGGCATTAAATAAAGTAACTAAGTACATTACATAGTTATGATGAGCAAGAGTACCTCTTCCAAAATTGTGAATTTCATGGCCCCAGGGTCAGGGGTTCTGGAGTTAGGGCGGGGCTCTATCGACTATATGGTGAAAATGCATTAATTCTTTGAAAATCTTTTCCTCTGCTCCTGGGCATTAAGGTGATAAACTAAGTACATAGTTATTATAAGGAGGTGGACCTCTTCCAGAATTGTGAAAGCCATGGCCCCTGGGACAGGGGTTCTGGTGTTAGGGCGGGGCTCTATTGATTATATAGTGAAAATGCTTTAATTCTTTGAAAATCTTCTTCTCTGCTCCTGGGTATTATTTAAACAAACTAAGTACATGGTTATGATGCATAAGGATGCCTTTTCAAAAATTGTGAATTTCTTGGCCCCAGGGTCAGGGGTTCTGGTGTTAGGGCGGGGCTCTATTGATTATTTAGTGAAAATGCATTATTTCTTTGAAAATCTTCTTCTCTGCTCCTGGGTATTAAATAAAGGAACTAAGTACATAGTTATGATAAGGAAGGATGCCTTTTCAAAAATTGTGAATTTCATGGCCCCAGTGTCAGGGGTTCTGGTGTTAGAGCGGGGCTCTATAGATTATATAGTGAAAATGCACTGATTCTTTGAAAATCTTCTCTGCTACTGGAGATTATATAAACAAACTAAGTGCATGATTATGATAGACAAGGATGCCTCTTCCAAAATTTTTAAATATATGGCCTCAGTTTTGGGGGTTCTTGAGGAGGGGGGGGGGCTCTATTGAATTTGATTATATAGTGAAAAAGCATTAATTCTATTAATCATTAATTAATCCTGTCTGCTCCTTAGTGTTGAGCTGATAAATAAATTGCTTAGCTATGATGAGCTATGATGGGAGCTTCGAACAGAATTTTTAAATCTTGTGGTCCTAGGGTCAGGGGTCTGGCATAAGGAGGGGGGGGGGGGTCTTTTGATAATATAGTGGAAAAGTGTTAATTCTTTGAAGTCCATAGTTATGATGATGAGGGTAACTCTTCCAAATTTGTAAATTTCTTGACCCTTGGTCTTGGGTTCTGGTGTTAGGGTAAGGCTTTGTTGAATCTGTAGTGAAAATGCATTGTACCTGTGAAATTCTTCTCTGCTTCTGGGCATATTGGAAGCAAACTGAGTAAAAGTTTAAATGGTATGAGTAAGCGTATTTCTACCAGATTTTTAAACATCTGGACCATTGGTCTAAGCATTCTGGTCCTGGGCAGGGCTCTATTAATTTGTATTCTACTGAGAGAAGTTATTCCCCTTTTCCATTCACCTTTGATAATTAATCACTGTAAATAATGTATTTGAAAGGTTAATAGAATAAGATAATTATGCAAGAATGTTTATCGTATAATTAAAAAAGTACTTTCTTAGTTTTAATAAACAGGTAGACCTGTAAGTAATAGATAAATAAAAATGAGACAAAAATAACTTATCTTATTAAAAGTTCTTCAAAGACCATAAGAGAGGTCAATGCTAGAGGTCTTAAGGACATACGCAACATACCTTACCTACTGATAATTTTTCAAGATATTCTTAATTTAAGATTATAGTGCCATCAGATGTTCGTTGACAAAAAATCAGCATGCATTACCAGGGGTTTTGAAAAGATATCAATTAATGAAAATTCTTGTATAATTCAAAGAAAAATACACAAAAATTACTAAATACATATTCTAGATGTTTTGTTTATCCAGACTTGTTTTAGAAGAAGTGTACAACAGCATATATAGACATACAAATGTAGCACACAATTCCTTTAAGCATTGGAACTCTTAAACTCCAGGGAAAAAGACAATAAAGTTAAAACTACGTTGCGTAAGTCCTTAATATGGGTTTATAAATAGTATAGAAGCACTAATAGTTTGTTAATAGTCTGCATAGTGTTAAGTGGGGGACAGATTAGAACTTAATTTATGAGTTGATACTGAATACTAGACTAATTATTTTGTTGATCCTGATCTTCCTACTTCTGTTGCTTTAGGGCAACAAAGCTTCAACTATCAGTGTATTTAACTTCTAAATTGTTGTATTATACTCAGGTGACCGTTAAGGCCCTTGGGCCTCTTGTTTTTAAAAACTGCAAGTTCTAAACCTTATTTCAAAATTACATGTACATGTAGATGCAAAAAAGTCTAGTGAGTTTCATGAAATCATAATAAATTAATCAAATTATATGTAAGTTCTTTAAGTGTTTTTTTTTTTTGCCTTTCACTAGTTCTTCCGACACTTAAAACATTATCCTTTTATTTTGGCTATGTAGGAGGACTTCAAGGCCGATGCAGTTGATGCTTTCTATGATGAAGTAGCAAACAGACAGTTGTCCATGAATGTTGAATACAAAGTGGCAGGATTAGAATATGTCAGTCTGTTAAACCCTGACACAAAAGATGATGTTGCGCTGAAGCTGATCTCCAGCGGTTACATGCTAGCGGAGAAACGCCGTGAGAAACGACTGGCCAAACTTGTCTCAGACTACATGAAGGCACAGGAAAAGGCCAAATCCTCAAGGGTATGGAAAAAAAAAACCTTTCTTAGAACATCTTCTTATCATAAAATCAGTCTACATGATGCTTCTCTTCCAAGCTTGATTTTGTTTTAACCTTAGTGTTTGCAATTTAACAATACTGTAGAAGTACTTTTTTTCCGCATGGTATTAATTTACGTTATGTAAGTGGTCACAAATTTTCTCAGGGAATCTGGCCCAGTGAACTTTAAGTACAATATGGTATATAGTGGCAATTTAATATATGCTTTAACAAATTCAGTATACGGATATAACGAATTCCTGATATAATGAAGTAAATTCACACGTCCCTAGGACTTTGCTATAACCAAGTTTTACTGTATAAATATAGACACTGTAAACACATTTATTTTTGTGGCTTGAAGAATTTTTATTTTTTGAGGAGAAATGTATCTTTTTAATGGGGATATAATTTCAGGGTTGGCGAAGTAAATATGATTCAGTGGTTTGTAATTTGATTATTTTATAGAGGACATTAATTCAAGGGTCTTCCCATACCATAAACAATTAAACCCCCATAAAAATTGTTAATTTTGCAGTAAATTTCCATTTACATGTAGTTTCTTTAAGAGAATGTTTATATTTGAATTTTTTTCCAGGAAAATATGTGGAGATATGGCGACTTCACTGAGGATGACGCCAAAGAGTTTGGATACTCCAGGTAGACTGACGTCATGTCAAGACCCACCTAAAAAAAGTTACATATAAGTAGAATCTAGCTTTGCCTCGCAAACACAAGTGGAATCTAGGAAATTTTCATTTTTATTCGAATTGTTATTTACATATATAATATATATTTTTTGCAATTAACTTATGGATGTACAGGACAGGAATACAGTCAGATGAATTTCTTTTTTGTTATCTTTTTATCATCATTATTTAGTATATGAGTTTGTGATGAATTTCTATGCATTAGATTCGTAACCTTACATAAAGTATTTATTATGTAGAGACATATTAATGTTAATGGATATGACTATGTTAGACTCACTTTGATATGTGGGCAGAGGACATTAAAGATGTGTTCAGGAGACCAGTATCAAAACGTTTATTATGTATCTGGTGCCAATAATTAACTTTTGTTTGATTAAAACTTTAAAATGATTTGTTTGCAGCACGTATGTATATAAATGCTGAAAAAATTGTACACATACATTGTAATGTCACTAATAATAAAGGGCATGGACCTGTCTATTAAGCAAATTGTATGTGATGCTATGTATTATTTTTTATTTGTGCTATAAAGCTGTAGGCCATGTACAATATTCAGGAATTCTAGCATGTATCACTGTAAAATTCCAATTACTGAGTCATTGGTAAATTATGTTTCATAGTGTTTTATTATGATGCATACATTTATATCCAGATTGCGAAAATCTTCCAATAGCTCTAACATGTCTATTGTTGTTTATCTGTTGATAACGTGTACATGTAATCCATGAAAATAATATATGCATAGACAATATAATTTATTTGAGGAACAAGTCAGTGTTGAATTATGCACCTTGCTAAAGTTTGCATAGGTTTCCAAAACCAAAAGTCACATAACCCTTATATTTGATAGACAGGTCTTGTTGAAAACAAGAGAGAAAAAAAACAATAATTTTAAAACCAAACCCTAAGAAATTTGATTGTCTCTATTCTTTTCAAATTGAATTATTTTTATCGTATTATTTTTTTCTTAAAGGTCACTTTGGTGAAAGTATTGCATCATATCAAATATTTGTACATATATATAAGTTTGTTTATCTGACTGTATTTAACAGGATGGGCATTTGATTTACAATGAGGATGCATTTCTGGTTGCCATGACAATGTCACCATGGACTTTAACAAGCTTTGAGTGAAAGTAACATGGCTTTTGCTGCATTTTGAAACATGGTTGTACTTTTAAACTGTATTTTCTTCTTTCAGTAGATTCATTTCTTTCACTTCTCAGATGATTTTTTTTTAAAAAAAATAACAAAAAACTGTTCCACATATTTTGTAGCATGTTCAAGATTTAGCAAATTATGTATTGATATATGTAGGTAAGAAGTTCTCAAAAGAAAAAAAACCCAAACATATGCAAGAAATATATGCTTTTTTTTATTGTATCAATATCCCAAATGTTTTTAACTTTTTCGTTTGATTAAGAGCTGACTGTTTTATGGTGCTTCTCATATTTGTTATAAACTTTTTTTTCCAATGAATATCTGTCAAGCTCGTTAAATTACATATATAATATATTTTTTCTTCATAGTTATACTGTCTAGTACATCATGTAAGCATGACAACCAGTTCAGATCTGTGTGTTGACAGACATTGAAATAAAAAGTTGAAGGTTGCAGTAATACATTGTCTTATGTTGATTGAAGGAATTTGAACTAGCAGTTCAAGGAACTCCATTATTTCAAAGAGGGGATATTTTTATTTTTAGGTTACATGAGTCACTCAGGTGACCTTTTGCTATCTGTTTTTGTCCATCGTCATGTGATGTGCGTTAACATTTGGATATTTTTAGCTTCTTCTCTGAAGCTGCTGAATGATTTTCAACCAATTTTGGCATATAGCATCTATGGGTGAAGGGGAACAAAACTTGTAAATTTCATGGTCCCTGCCCCCCTGGGGCATGAGGTGTGGGTCTAACACCACCAATATAATGCTTTTTTTTAGAAATCTTCTTCTTTAATCCTGGACATCAAGCAGTCAAACTGTTGTCCTCTACCAAAATTGTTAAATTCATGGCCCAGGTTTGGGGGTTCTGGTGCTAGGGCGGAGCTATATAGATCATATAGTGAAAGTGCATTATTTCTTTGAAAATTTTCTTCTGTGCTCCTGGGTATTAAACTAACTAGGTACATAGTTATGATGAGCAAGGGTGCCTCTTCAAAAATTGTGAATTTCATTGGTCAGGGGTTCTGATTTTAGGGAGGCTCTGTTGATTATATATTGATAATGCATTAATTCTTTAAAAATCTTTCATATGCTTCATGGGTGATAAGCAAACAAACTAAATGCATAGTTATTATGAGCAAGGGTGACTCTTATAAAATTCATGGCCCCTAGGTCAGGGATTCTGGCATTAGGGCGGGCTCTAATGATTATAGTGAAAATGCATTAATTCTTTGAAAATTTTCTCTGCTGCCCCTGAGTATTAAGCAAACTAAATGCAATAATATAAATGTATAAATATAAATAAGTGTTCCTCTTCTCTGCTCCTGGGTATCTAGGAGGCAAACAAGAATTCAGAATTGTAATAAATGAAGCAAATGAGTTACTCCCTTTGGTAAATTGTATTTGTATATAATTTAATCAACAGGTTATTTGATTGAATGAGAATACAAGAAAGAATGTTATATATAGTCAATTCTCGCCATTCGTTTCATCGCCATTGGGTAAAAAAAAAATCTTGAAATTCATGTTCCCTGGTCCTTTTAAAAGGGTCTAGACTTTGAAACGGGCTGGATTGATCATACATGTGTATATTTAAAATGCATTGTTTAAAAATCACTTCATACTATAAAAGAGACAGACTTACTGCATTGAGATAATGAGTAGAGGGATCTCTTCCAATTAAAGTATTTGTACCGGTCACGGTAGCCTAGTGGTAGGGCGTTCGCTTTGTGATCGGGAGGCCCGGGTTCGATTCTCGTTCGCCGCGCCGCGTTAAACCTAAGACGTAAATATTGGTAATGGCTGTTCCTTCGCCAAGTGCCCGGAATTAGAAGTGAAAGTCACAGGTCTTTCGAATATGACCTTAAAAACGTAGGTCCCGTGTCACGGTAGGCGTTGGCACGATAAAGAACGGCTTTACTGCTCAATGGCCCTGAGTGCCGAGTATAGGTCTTAATTTGAAGCCCTTCACCGGCATACGGTGACGTCTCTATATGAGTGAAAAATTCTCGAATGGGACGTTAAACAATATACAATCAATCAATCCAAACTATTTGTTTGTTTGTTCAACGTCCTTTCGAGAATTTTTCACTCAAATTTAGACCTTTACTCGGCACTTACGGCCTTTAAGCAGCGAGGGATCTTTTTCATGCCAACACCTACTGCGACACGGGGCCTCGGCTTATACGGTCTCATGCGAAGGACCGGTCTCTACGATCTCCAGCGGGATTCGAACCCACGACGTAAGAATCAACGTCAGCTCCTTACTCCACAGCTCTAGATCTAGAGCAAACGCTCTAACCACTGCGCCTTGCAGGCGACTTTTCCAAAGTGAAATTCATGTCACGTCAGTCCAGTTCTAGTCCCGAGCAGGTGTCATAGTTTGTCATAGCCAGAAATATTCATATGGTGTTTCGGTTGACCGCAAAGGACCATGGCGCTCTTATTACATCTTAGTGCTTCTTTTGAATAACTTTATCATTCTAGGAATATCATCAAAAGTTACTCCAATTTCTTTCATAAAATAAATAAATAAATATATGCGAGCGAAATATTTAAAAAAATTCATTTAAAAGAGGAATACAGACACACCCTCACCCCCCATTACTAGTTCTTTACCGATAATTATTTCCATTAATTCTTGATATTGTAGATAGATTAATTTACATTTAGTGATACGAAAAGTCTGCTCAACATTAAAAAAACAAAATGAAATTTTAAATTAATTTTCACCTCCCAATAAAGGCAAACAGACTAAATTTACTCACATCAACCCGGCAAAACTTTGGATATTATAAGAGCAAACAAGTCTTTTCTAATATACTAGTAGTTCGAAACGCGTTATTTTCATTTCCCAATCTATAAAACTAAGTATCAATTCAAAACGCCTTGAACTTCAATGTTAAAACTGTCCTCACCTATTCGAATAGGTGATATCACCTATTCAAACAAAGTGATACCACTCTTTACAATTGAATAAGTGATATCACCTTATCCATTTGGTGATATCACCTATTCGAAATAAATGGGTGATAATCACGTTTTCGAATAGGTGATATCACGTTTTCGAATTGAATAATTGATATCACCTATTCGAATTGGTGAGATCACCTGAGGTCACTTGTTTGAATAGGTGATATCACATAATGGCAGTAAATATCAAAACGGGTCTCCAATGACAGAAGTTGTATATCCCATACTAGCTGTTAAGTGAGTGGGTAGTCCAAGGCCATAAATAGACTCAAATGTTTAGTGAGGCAAGGGATCTGGGACCACCAAACGGGTCCAGGGAAGTGTCCTGATGGGGGTTCTTAGGGGGAGGGGGTCCCAAAACCTGGGTTTCAGCAAATTAAAGACTTAATCTTTGAAAGTTTTCGTTTTTAATTATCTTTACATGTGTTCTAAACGATAATGAAACACCTGGTGAGATGATCGATTTACAGAAATTGAAACAAAAGTTGTTAAAAGCATTAAAAGTTTAGTACAAAGACACATATAATTAATTAAAGTTCAAAGTAAAACTTTCTCACTTTCAGTAGAGTCTAAAATTTTAGTGAGGCATTTGCCTCACTTGCCTCAATGGTAGTTACGGCCTTGTAGTTTAGTCAAGAACTGTCCAGAATGGTCAAGGAAGTGAACGAATACCAAATCAGATGCAACGACAGTAACCAGAAGAAATTCCAATTCACTATAGAAGGTTTAGCTGTCTCAGGAATGAATTTTACATTTACTTGAGATTGATTTTGTTTTTGCTTATGTTTTTAAAGGCACAGAGTAAAATGATTTTATCAATATCTTAACTTGAATACTTGATACTAGTATCTCCAGATGGAATTTGATCTGTTTAAGTCTCATCTGACAGCATGGCGCAGTGGTTAGAGCGTTTGCTCTAAGGCCGATTGAGTGCGGCGTCTAAATATGAGTGAAATTTTTTTTCGAACGGACGTTAAACACACACACACACACACAACAACAACAACAACGTACGTCTCATATTTTTTGATTGCACTTTGCCCAATATACTATCATGACATATTAATGTTTGTATATGTACATTGTGACGATGCCAGGAGAGTCTTTTTTGAATGTAGAGATTTATCCTCGATAAAAGCAAATCATTTCTTCATAAAGCGTTTCTTAATAAAAGAAAAGCCCACGATGATCTCTTAATTAGTGTTGCAAAATTACAATTTAAGAAACTTGTTATTGGTCTCAACGTAGTTCAACATTTTATTTAAGTGAATCCTGTGTTTCTTAAAACAGAGGAAGGATATGGTAATTTTATTAGCATAGTATAATTTTATTTTTAATCTATCATGTCTATATTGATAAACATTTGAACATGGAGGTTTACTTTCGGATTCATTTTTTTCCTTGTAGAATCCGAAAGTAAACCCCCATGTTCAAATGTTTATCAATATAGACATGATAGATTAAAAATAAAATTATGCTATGCTAAGTTATACCAACACAAAAACAAAATAGAAATAACATTTTTTTATGTTATTTTTTTTCTACTTACATAATAAACAAATCAGATATACATACTTTCATTTCTTGTGCTGACCAAGTGATTTCCAAATTCTCGTTTGATATAGGAATATTCTGTCTTCAGACTTTGCACATCATTCTCTAATGTTTGAACATCACTCATCACTTGTTTTACTAAAATTTAAAACAATGCCCATTCTATATATTTAAAAGATATATATTGTTTTCTTTTCATTTAAAATAATATTGTGTTAGCCGGAAGCTCAGTTTTTTCATTATCTGTCGAAATTATTCAAGACACAAGGGTAAAATAATACATGTAATTGAACTGAGAAAAAAATCGTACTTAATTCTATCACGGCAATAAAAGTGTATCGCGAGGTGTGCCGAATTTTAAAAGATTTCTCAAATATATTATATACATCATGCATAAATATAAAACAGCTTGATTTCTAATGGATTAAAGTTTTGGTTTACGATTTTTTTTGAAAATAATTTTTGGAAAGTTTAGCTTTATAACCGAACAGTCGTTCAAACAGGCGTAACCAAATGTTTGCGTTTCTAATGTCTGCGTCAACTCTCTTGTACTGTGAATTAATAGGTTCATAAGTGTCATAGTTTATGCTTTACAGTAAATAAATATATTAATATCCATTTTGAAATAATTATATATTAAATACCCTAGATTTAATGTTTCAGGTTGCGCACGGACACTGGAATACCTGGATCAGAAAACACACGTTGCCTTTTATGCGTACTATTCTAACAATTTTAAAGCTCTATCCACTGGGAAGATTTTAATATTTGATTCAGTAGAGACAAACCTTGGCAATGGATACAATAAAAAAAAACTGGACTACTCACTGCTCCAGCTTCCCGTGTTTTTGCCTTAACATTGACCTTGCACGCAGCGGGAGAACATACATGTATCGCTGGAACATCTGGGAGCAACTGTGGCGAAATGAATGCAGTGATAAAACAAAACGGAGTCACAAAGGGTGCGATTGTTGCTGATACTGAAACACAATACGATAATGCTGCTGGTACCGGGTTTGTTGTTTTGAGTCTAAAAGCTGGAGACGAAATAAAGATTGTGTCTAAGTATAAACGGCCCAGGATCTTTGTTCACCAGCGTGGCCGAACATCATTTTCAGGATTTCAGATTGAATGATTCCTCCACTTATTATCATTTAATTAGGTATATTCATTATTGTGGTTATTGATTATTCATATTGATTGAAAAATTAACTACATTTTATTTCTTAGATTAAAAAAAAATCATGTAATTCTGTAATGTCCATTGCTTACAACTTTTTTTCTTCAACTAGACATTAACCCAAGTACGCACGGGTTAAGGACTTAAGGTGTACATGCAAGGGTTATGGAAGATGCGAATGAATTGGACAAATGTTCAACAGATCAATCTTTAAAAGCATTTAACGAAAAACAATATATATATTATAAGCGGGCTTTGTTGCGATTTTTAGGAGGAATTCAAAGCTGTATATTGTATACTTAAATTATACAGACGATATGCATGTCACATTATTTTAAGTGTACCGGAAACAATATAACATAAGTACATGTACTTTATCATAGTTAATGCATCTGTTTTTGTTTGCGATAAAGATGACAAAATTTTGGTGTAAATCTCGTTTACCCGCACTGCGGATTATAACCCAGTTAATGCCAAAACTGTCGTCCATCATATAATTGATCCCCCCCCCCCCCTACGCTGACTAATATGTTGTGACGTTATAAAACGGCAAAGTGGTCAAATATCAAAATGTCAGAAAGCTATGCTTATGAAGAAGGTATAAAAAAAATTCTTAGAAATAATGGAGTTATTTGAACTACTTGTTCAAATTCCTTCAATCAATCAACGTAAAACAATGCAGTACTGTAGCCTTCAACATTTTATTTCAAATCGTTTTGAACTTCAATCGTAAAAATCTTTTCACCATCCAAAAGATGACAGGAGTTTAAAATCCCATGCTGTGAAGTGTGTAGTGTAGTCAAGAACTGACCTGTATATTTATGGGATATTTTTGTTGTATGTTTTAATCTCTCTGAACTCCATAAATAAAGCTGCTATACTGGACACTAATATTTTTTTTTTTTGAGAAATAACAATATATATTATTAAACAAATTTGAAATTTGTTTTCTTTTATGCATTCATTAAATTTTTTTATTTTAAATTACATGTATATAACTTCAACTTTAATTATATAACTTAAAAATAAATAATCAGGTCACCTGAATGAAATTAACTGATATATGTATAATACTTGCATATTCTCTGTTTTCTCTCACTATGAACCTGTACTCATCAGTTGCGTTCATTGGACTATGTTCAGCTATGAGATCATTTCGATGCTCACACTCACACAGTACAGGCTACTCCAATGAAAACGCGTTCAGAAGTATATATATCAAATGTTAAGGTATTAGGGGTGTAATGGTCATGACTTTGAATATGACTAAATTCAGTTTAGTTATAATGGATAACACTTCAGGCAATATTTTCCAAAGTTTCATGCAATTCTGTCCAAACATAATTTTTCTATACTTATTTTCATGCCTGAACCCTCTAACCACTAGTGCACCTTTAATAGACAAAAGGTACAGATGTAATTTTTACCTCTACTTTAGCGCAAACAGTTGAATGTTTCATGTATTCAGCTGCAACACTAAGCAGTACAGATTGCATATATGCATTCTTTTTAGTTCAAATTCATCAGGTATGATATATGAATACTTGTAATCGAAAGAACTTGTCTACTTTGAGTGACAATTTTGGCGATTTTTTTTTTTCATAAAACCGTTTGTAATATTCTGTCAAAGAAAAATATGGTAGGAAAGATCAATAAAAGAACAATATCAATTTTGTGTAAGATGTGTTTGTCATAATATAACAAAATTTTTTTTATTCCATCCACAATATTTATCTATATTCTGTATCATAGCGATGTGCCCCTAAAAATTTAAGCCATCATTTTTTGTAAATGTCATGGGATTTGTGATAATTAATGAAATGATCAGCATATATAAACAACAGGTTATTGTCATATTGAATACACTTCACTTTAGTCAGATTCATTTGTTCAGAAGATTGACCTCGTCACAGTGACCTTGACCCAGACAAAGATTTGCAAAATGACCTACATTTTTGCAGCTTCCATGTACATGGAGTTCTTTACAGATCAAAACATTACTATACAATGTAGACTAAAATATATACTGACAGAAACACTAATCAAAAGGTAAAAAAACCCAACTAATTTGTTTTACACCGTTCCCCACATTATAAAAAAAAATATCAATAAAAAATATTCACCCTCCCCCCCCCCCCTTCTAAACAGTAAACTTATGTAAAATTAAATAAATAAATTGATGTAAATAAAATAACAGAAATCACCCTAACCCAACCCAGAATAAATCATTTATTCCCATATCTAATAGTAATTGTTTTTCTTTAATGATGTAAACATATTTACATTCTATTTTTTACTGATATATTTTGAACATCTCAGATATTTTACGTATGGACATTGAACGTCCTTTATAAATTGCAGATTCTACAATGCACTCAATGCTACCTATTACGTACATTTTTCCCCTCAAACGGTTTGCTGATATTGAGAGAATCACAAGAAATCGCGATGCGAATGTAAAGTTTTGAAGAAAGGTATACTTCGTTCGTTCTTCGAAAATGGTGCTATTTTTGAAAGTTGGAAAAACCCATGAAGTGTGTATTTGAAGGTATCATCGTTTTGACTGCATATTGTGTCTAACAAAATATATTGACGTGTTTTCTACGTAATATCATATTTATTCTCTCCTCCGCTAAGTTATATTCCTTTTCTTTGGTGTATGTTTTATGTTAGCGTCCTAGGCCGTCTTGACGACACGCCATTTTTGTTTACGAAGTACAGTGTTCCGAAAACTGCCGATGTCAGACACCTCGGTAAATGCCGTCATTTTTACCGGAAATGGCGTATTACACCTCTAATACCTTAATAAAGGAATAAATCTTAATTTTTTTAATAATATTCTCCGGAAAAAAAGAAATTCAAAATGATTAAAATTGCTGATTTGTATCTTTAAAAAATAAATTTTGATCAATTTATTTCATTGTATAATAAAATGTTTTACAAATTAAAAAGAACTGCTATATCTTTAATTTTTCTGTTCATATTTACGAATATTTTGGCAAAGAACGATAACTCTTCACGCAAGGGTGTTTCACGTTCAGAGGATACGAAGTTTTGGTAATAGTATCCTCGATACATCTATTTTAAGAACAATTTCAGCTCTTAAAACTTAAAAAAACATGGTTAAACATTCTTAAGTTAAAATCAATATAAAAACATTCTCTTTTGTCATCATACTGTTAAATTGTTAAATTTTTCTCAGAGGGTTTCAATACTTTGAACGATGACGTCACAACTGCAGCAAAACAAAAATAACCGAAGGCGACGCGGTTTGTATGGATCCAGATAACTGTAGTTGAGAAGCAAATAACATAATTATATATTATTTGTGACTTATTGGAGAAATGGTTGATTAATAAAGTCTACTCATTTTATTGTCATTTTTTTTTCTTTACTGGGAACAAGCAGCCGTACCGTTATGTAAGCCAGGATTTCCTCTGATATTCTTGACACTTCACAAAATGCAAATATAAGTAATAAACAACGATTATTCAGTGAACACGGCATTATGAATAGCAATTATAGCTCTGCTGGCATATTTTCCATGATGCGCTAGCGCGTATCATGGACTATGCCAGCAGAGCAATTGCTATTCATAATGCCATGTTCACTGAATAACGTTGTTTATTTCTTAATTACAGTTCAAATGATGAAATTATAAGAAATAAACTTAATAATCATTAAATCAAATAAATTTACTCATAAATGATAGAGTCTGCATCAATAAGATAATTCACAGAAATACCGAATAGGATTTTAATCAAATGAAAGAAATATAAAGTGTAGTTATTTCAGTCAAGTTTCAGGTCTGTCAGGAATTTTCTAAATTGTACACCTAGATAATATGGCAGACGTCCACTAATTTAAGTACAAAACTACAATTTTATGCAACTTTCCTCTAAGGAATTTGTGTTTCATATGAACAAAGGCTGTTCACCCAAAAGCGGGAAAATATAAAGTAAAACTATTGGTACTCCAAAACCACATGACATGTAACACGTCTCAAATGACCACATAGGTAAAATAGCCATAGGCATTAAATTCCAAGTCATTAATTAAACAAATAGATAATAAATAGTTATCATTCAACAGCACAATAAAAGAACCAAAGGAGATTAGAAAAATACAAGAATGTATATCCAATTGTGTTTCAATTCAAAGATGTACAAAATGATGATGATGATGTAGATGGTGATCAAGAAAAATAATAATAAAAACAAGAAACACATTATTCCTTTACATCATTTATTAATCAAAAATATATTGAAAATATAACCCTATTACAATAACGGCTGTTTAAAATACAAATGTAAACATTTAAATCCTTAAATTTTGCTTTTTCATCAAAATGGACATGTTCCAAGAAAGTATATTATATCCTAGGGATTCATGAGAGTCATACATGAATGTATCATTCACATGCTTGGTCCTTAGGTACAAAAAATTTGTTTTTTCGACAATGATATTCAAAGAGCAAAGTGTAATATTTTTTTTTCCTCTATTTTGAAAAAGAAGTAATACATTCAGCTAATAAAGAAGAAAATGGAAGTTAATTGACCTGTTTTGAACATTTAATGTGTTAAAAATATTGAGGCAACTCCCCCTTCCAAGAAAAAGCCCACAAAGAATTTGAGAGGTATATAATATAATTTATATAGTATAAAACGCAGTATAATATAGTCAAGCAGATGTTGAAATTTAAAAAAAATTTACACATGCTGTCTTTATTTTAACCTATGCATAAGTAAAACATGGAGTAATTTCTATCTAGGTTTACACTGGTACTACCGTGTCACTTCCCGGTATGTTAACACCACACTCGATCCATTGTTCATACCATTTGCCTGTCTGGGACGGAACAGATCCTATTCTTCTTACGAACGAAAAAGTCTCTCCCCGATCACTTCGATAGAAACCTTTAAAACACAGATTTGGCAATTACAAAGAGGACTTTTTTTTTGCAACTCCATATTTAAAAACTTTAAAAAAAATTGAATACATAAAGAACACGAGACCCATGGGCTACATGCACATGTCCATCCTATTCTTCATTGCAAAAAAATCGATTTATTCCCAAGAAAAATATTGTGGTAAGATCCTAAAGGGTCATAAGATAACATGAATTAGCAAATACTGTGCTTCTTCAATATCGCTATAACTAACATTTCAGGCCTTCCTGTTTTGTAGAAAGCGTAAATATGCACTAGAAAGCATTACTGCCTCCTGATTTTAGCCCTAACTCTAAGCCCATAATCTATTATTTGAAGAAAAAAATAAATCATAACAATCGGAATGGTTCAATATGAATGCAATTTAGTGTGTCCCTACTTTTTTTTTTAAATGTTTTAAACCAGAAGTCCCTGACGAGACTGTAGCTCTACTGGTTTTTACTTATAACAAGGAAGAGAAAAGTAGCACATGCACTTGAAACTATGCAACAGCTATAAATAAAATAATGGTCTTCTGTTTAGTCTTTTTTGTTGCAAGATTTATTGCAATCAGACTAAAACTGTTGGAGGAGTAGCCTTTTGAAAGAATTTCAGAGAAATTTCTATTTTTGGTAACCATGCCCAGGCCGTTCATCAAAATCAAAAACCGATACACAGAATTACGTATCTCAGTGCAGTCTACTTGTATGCAAAGATATAATGAAATCAGACCAAAACTAGTGCTAATTGTAACGGGAACGGTTACAAATGTTCCCCAAACGGCTCCCCAATCCCTTATAATGTCCCATTCCCTACAAGCTTCAATAAATTAGACAATACTTTTGTAATATAGATGGGCACTTTATTTTTAAGGGTATTTCATTGGAAAATTACTCCGATATAGCCATATGGGTATTAGCCAATCAAATTTCAGCGCATATGCTTGCACATGTTTTCTACATTTTTCACATTAATTTTCTTATAGTGTCTCACAATACATACATTTGTGTTAAATATTAAAGAATCTCATTTAAAAATAAGAGAGATGTAACCCTTTAAGTATTAGCCAATCAGAATTCAGCATACGCGCATGCATGGCCTTGCATTCAGTTTTGATAGTATCATAATATAGGAGCTCTATGTGCCTATCCATGTCGTAAATTTCATCCTGTTTTGTTGAAAACCATGGGAGTTATAAACATTTAAAGTTTCAACCGATCAGATTGCAGCACACCTGCAAGCGCGTGTTTTCAAGAAATTTCCTATATAACATGTTGTAGCACCTTATAATATATACTTATATTCTAAATTTCAAAGTATTTTGTCAAAAAACAAGGAAATTATTGAGATTTTTGTATCAGCCAATCAGAGAAGAGCGCACGTGCATGCGCGTGAGTTCACTTGTCTAGACTACTAATATATCGTTATATTTTGAGTTTCAAAGCAATTCATCAAGAAATATAAAAGTTACGGCTTCATCAAGTATATCAGTCATTTCACTCATTGCACGCGCTCGCACGTGCATGCATGTGCGCGCAAATTGACTTTCGTTCCGAACACCTACACAATATGCCTATTAACCCTAAAAAGGTTTCATGTCAATCGGATGAGTGGTTCTATGAGAACACTCCCGGACAAAAAAGTACCGGAGAAGAAAGTAGAAAAATAATAATAACTAGATGCGTTTCTTGTTGCTAGGGCAACAAGTGGTCTTCCGACCGATTTTTTCTCCAGATCGCTATGCTACCTCACTTTATTTAATACTTTATTGAAGGTATTTTTTGTTTGCGTTTATGTAACACAGTCTTTCAACATAGATCATAATTATTAAAGGATTTCTATAGAATCTCTGTTAGAAAAGCTTTAAAAAATAAGCAAAAACTATCATACATGTCTTTACAGAGAAAAACATCATTTACAACTGAAAAAAGAGAGAAACAATCTCCCGCCCCAGCAGGATTCGAACCCACAACATTACGAGAAAGTTTGGATCGGTCATATCTTTGCAATAAATGCATCAATCAAAATGATGAAAACATACTTAGAACTCTTAGAAGATTCTCTATTAACCCTGTAAATCCCAGAGAAAAATATTGAAAAACAAAAAAGTCACAAATTTAACATTTTTGAATTCACTTCCGTTTGCGACCGGAAGTACGAACGACGAAAAATAATGGTCAATCAACATATCTACATTTGATGCTCTATCACCTCAGCAAGTTTCATATTCATATCTTATCATATATATCGGAGCGCTCGCTCCGTGATCGGGAGGTCGTGAGTTCGAATCTCGGCCGCGACTGACCTAAGTCGATAAAAAATAGGTAGCAACTGTTCCTTCGCCAGGCGCGCGGCACTTTGAAGTGAAAGTTGCGGGTCCTTCGGATGAGACCTTAAAAACCGAGGCCCCGTGTCACGGCTGGCGTTGGCACGATAAAGATCCCTCACTGCTCAATGGCCCTGAGTGCCGAGTAAAGGTCAAAATTTGAAGCCCTTCACCGGTATATGGTGACGTCTCTATATGAGTGAAAAATTCTCGAATGGGACGTTAAACAACATACAATCAATCAATCAATCAATATATATCGGAAGACCTTAATAATAACTAATAAATTAAATGTTCAGAGAACAATTAGAGGCCTTTCCACCTTTTTAAGTGTTTTCGTGTCATTTGGGCTGAAAAAAAAGAGAAATACAAAAAAAAAATACCCCCCCCCCCCCCAAAAAAAAATGCCAAAAAAAAAAAAAAAAAAAAAAAAAAAAAAAAAAAAAAAAAAATAAAAATAAAAATAAAAATTTGCTCCTCCAGATGGGATCGAACTCAAAACCCTTGGTTTGAAAGGCAGGTGCGCTAACTACTGCACTATATAATAAATACAAGCGTATTTTTAGAATCGGTAGGGGAAGAAAGAAGTTCCGTAAAAGGAAATAGTTCCTGAACTTGCAAGCAGTATATAAAATAACAAGGGACGTGCTGCGTGAGAAAACGTTAACACTGTTCCCTGATGAAAATGTATTAATGGACTGTAGCCCGATTCATCGATATTGTGAGCATGCTGATTTTTTTGAAAATAGCTTTGTTGTAAGCTTAAACGATCGGGTTCGGATTTTAACATTTCTGACTGAATATCCTGAAATAAATATGAAACATTTAAATAAGCATTCCTTTGGGTTAAATTAAATATGTGTAGCACAAATTAAACTCCCAACATGCATTTTTAGAAGGGAAATACGACAATGAAAGCGAGAATTGTTTTTAATATACCGAAAATCGCTATTTCTGGAAACTGATAAATTCTAAATAAAAATCAAATTAATTCCAAATGTAAATGAAAGAGAGAGTGCTTGGTATTAAAATGTCGTATCATATCAGGAAAATCGAATGCTACTAGCGACATCTGAAGAAATAGCCGATAAAGGTTTAGATCATTTCTTCGTCCATCTGCACTTTAATTTCAAACACAACAGAACTTGTAGTTTTTGCCGTGAAACTTCATGACTTCTACAAACTTATAAGACTCACCGTAAAACTCTCAAGAAAGTTTCTCTGAGGTCTATACTACATTTGTACCAAATATGGTGTCGATCCGAGGTTTGAATTTTACAGAAATATTCTACGTTGTTGTTGATGTGATTTTTTTTAAGAAGGGGGGGGATGAATTATTTATTTTATACCTCTTTTAAAGTAAGAATTGTAACTACTTTCACATCCTTAAGCTTGATTGTGACCTTTGGGTCAAGGTCAAAGGTCAAGGTCATTTAAAAAAACAACAACAACAACAACCCCCCCCCCTCCCCAAAAAAAAAACAAGGAAATCTTTACTTTCTATGTTTTTACCTGATACTGGAGTTGGATGCATGTCCTTACTTTTCATTTGACCCAATGTCAAGGTCAAAGGTCAAGGTCAAAGGTCAAGGTCATTTGGTGAATTGCTATATTTTACACATATATAAGGAATTTCTTCTGTTTTTAAATGACTTTGACCTTGACCTATATTTCAAGGTCAAAGTCAAATATGCCGATGCAGTTGGTCCCATGTCTGTAGGATACACCGTTTGAAAAAAAAAGTTCATTAAATGTAAGCAGCGTAAACTTTCAGGAGCAGTATCTTATACAAGGGACCAAAGAATGCTTTTGCAATGATAGAATGAAGAGAGTACTAAATGAGTCGAAGATGATGAAGGCTTGGAATCTCTACGGTTTACGGTTTTGGAGGAGTAGCGATAACAAGGTTTTATTGCAAAAGGGGTAACAACTTTTGAATGGGTCAAGCTTTGGGGACAAGAATTAAATCCTTACAATAGTTTTAGAAGGACGTATTATAGATGCAAAGATATTCAGTATATGTCGAAAGGTTTTCTACAGAATCTCTGACAAAAAAGCTTTTAAAAATCAGCAAAAACTACCATACATGTTTTCAAAGAGAGAGAAGTCATTAGCAACTAAAAAAAGAGAAAAACGAAGAAAAAAAAACTCCCTCCAGCACGATTCGAACCCCAGACAGTGGGACAAAGTTTGGATCGGTCATATCTTTGCAATAAATGCACGCATTAAAATATTGACTACATATTTAGAATTCTTGTAAGACACTCTATAAACCCTGTAAATCCTAAAGAAAAATATTGAAAAACAAAAAAGTTGAAAAATTGGACTTTTTGAATTCACTTCCGTTTGCAACCGGAAGTGCCGACAACGAAAAATAAAGGTCGTTCCCCATATTGGAATTTGATGTTCTATCTTTTCATTGAGTTTCAATTTCATATCTTTAGCCGTTCTCGAGAAAAATTCTGGACAAAATGCCATTTAAAAAATACAAATTTCCCCAAAAATCGCGAACGGAAGTGAATTTTGAAAAAATGAAAAACACGTCTGGAGATATTTACATGAGGCATCTTCCCTGAAAAAATCTCTGAAATTTGCTTACTCACAGCTGAGATATCGCCATAACTATGAAAAAAAGAATAACTAGATGCGTTTCTTGTTGCTA